GTAGGCATCGAAGGCTCGTTGGCCAAGGTTCGAACTTTGCTTTCTTACGAGTGAGAGAAGTACAAATTGCAAAGAAGAAAAGTTTACGTCGGTCGTTTCTCAAACTGTGCGGCAGCGGTAATCTATTTTCTTCCACGAGGTCTTTTTCTCACGCAAATCTTCGGTGGATTTCGTTATTTAATGTGACTGATGTGCATAAGCTCTCGGTGTAATTTATAACGTGTAAAATGTCTAAAATTATTTCGAGAAAATTTTGAGAAGAAAGTTCTCTGAATAAACGCGCTGACGCGTCCTAAGTGCCGCTGCTTCTTAATGTGTCATAGATCCTTTCACGTCCCATAGCGCGATTTAGCGCGTGTTAATAACCTCGTGATAGAGCATGATAGGGGTCGCTGCCATGTTGCGAGGGTGAGTCGCGATAGGAGTGTGTGTGACACTTTCCTAATTGCCTCGCAACTTCCTGCCCTTTCCCCTGTTTAAGAAAAGCAACCCTTATCCGCCTGTTTCTCTCTCGCGGGGCTGGCAGACTTCGGGATCGGTAAACTTTCGAACACACAACTGGACGTAATCCTTTACCTTCTACTGTACTTATGAAGTACTGTGTTACGAAGATAATCATTTTACATAAGAGACTTTACATCTTTAAAGAAACACAAGTAGCTTTATAAAACGCGTAATAGTGAATGTAAACTTTTGTATACACTATAGAAATACACTACATATTATAATATGAAAGAAAGAAGTAAAATTAAATTTTTTTTTCTAAAAATAAAAATGCAATTGTGCCCACTGGATTTACGGCAGTCGGATGTCGGTTAAAATGAGATATTGGAATTGGACTTGCCATATAATACGTACACGGATAAGATCGTGCGTTCTCAAGAACATCGAAATAACGTTTAAGTAAGAGTGCCAGCTGCAGCAAGTAGCAGCAAGGAGGCGTAATAATCTCGTACAAGCCACGCACTAGGGCTTCCATTAAAGCCGCGTCGGCAGCATTCTAAGTACTAACGAGTAAAGTGCACGAAGGCCGTGGAGAAGTTGGGTTACCGAGATCCACGGTAGGGACAATCAGTAGGTAGGAAAAAATCCGCGGAACAGCCAGAAAGGTAGCCGCATTCTTGGTAGCTGCGGAGGCACGTGGGAATCGCGAGATCGGGCCCTCCTCTCTCAATGCCCTCTCCTTTCACAGGGGCCCTCCTCTGCGGATCTCTCGGTCCCGGCGGCGATGTAACGTTGCGCTCTCCTGTGTGGCTCTCTCTCTCTCTCGTCGTCTTTTTGGATATATTCTAGGTAAAGTACGAGCATCCCTGGTAAATAGGTAAAAGAGCCGAGAGATGCGCCGGCCGGTGCAGGCCGCGGCCTCTTTGTCTCTTTCTCGCCGGCGAGTAATATGCCGGCGAAGGGGGATATGAGAGAGAGATGATTTCCTTCTTGCTAACTCGCGACAAGCTGCTCCTGGATTCTTCGCGCGCACCTCCCGGGGGACGAAGCTCGCAACGCGAATTACACGCTTCTTAACCCTTAACCACCCGGTAACCGGCCGCACGTAAAAATCGTCAATCGCGCGGCCGAAAAATACGCCGGCAAATCATGATCACGAGAAAGAGAGAGAAAGAGAGATATTGTTTCTTTTATCGAGACTCATTGATATTTTTCTTTCTTTCTTTCCTCTCGCAGTATCTTTTTTGTCATTTTTGTATTTTTAAAATTTACGAGATTCCAATTAAAAAACTTTTTATCTATTCTTTCTATCTGGTGGATTTTTCTAATTCTACTCGACTGTTCGTTTATCTTAGCCGGATAAATAACTTCCTCTTCGTAAACCACCATGACGCGTCTTTAGAAATGTAGTTTTCGTCCCTTTCTCCGACAGCGAACCTCTTAGAAGATACGCCGGACAATCTTTCCCTCTCTTTCTTTTTCTTTACATAATCTCTCGCCAAAGACAGAGAGAGAGAGAGAGAGAGAGAGAGAGAGAGAGAGAGAGAGAGAGAGAAGAAAGGAAGAGAATGACTACGTGGCGACGACGACGGAGAACGAAGGAGGACGCGAGGACGGGAAACAAGAGTTCGCTTGCAGCCTGTATACGAGTAGACGTGGAGGCAGACAGAAGGAGTCAGCACAGAATATACAATCAGCATGATTGTTTGACACCCCATAATCAGCGTCCTTACCCCTACTACGCCGGCTAACATCTTGGCTTCACCGTTCGTTTTTACCCCCTGCCTGCCCCGCCCGCGCGTTTCTCCTTTTCCTGGTGCCCCAAGCAGGCGCTCCTCTCTCCGTTCCTTTCACGTTGATATCACTTGGAGATCCGACTCCTCGCCTCGCTCTTCTCTCGCCTCTCATTCCTCTCTCGCATCATCTCTTCGGGGTACCTACTATAACGGTCCGTTGCCACTGCGCGCGGGGGCCTCATTACCCCGATCATGACTCGAAATGAGACTCGGCGGGGCAAGGAAGAAACGGTTATATTATAAGAGACAGAAATAATGCTCACTTCTCTTTTTTCTTCACTTAGGGACCTCCCAACTGACGTGGCGTTTGCTCTTTCAGCGAAGACAATGCACGGCGGCAGAATTTGTACTTTGAAATTTACACATGGAATTTTGCGCACGCAGAAAGCAGTCGTGAAATTTATTTGAAATATTCAAGAAAAATTGTGCGCAAAATGTTTCACTCACTTCTTATTTCTATTTTATTTTCCAAGCTACCGAAGCGTAAATCTTATCAATTTCACGTAGTTACCCGCTATTACATTTTTACTCTTATATATGATAGAATTTTTAGCGATTTCACTTCTTCTTATAGAACTTTCCGGCACGTACGTGAGATTTAGAAAGCAATCACGAGATGACGAAGTCACGGAGGGAAGAGGAAGGAGGAGGAGAAACAGAAGGAGGAGGCGAATAGGTTCGATTCAGTAACGTCGCAAGCGAAGCGAACAGAAGATAAAAGGAAGAGTCGCGCGAGGCGAAGGGCAAAAACAACATGGATCCAGCTCCGGATCGATCGAGAAGCGACCGATCGATCCCTGGTATTACGCAGACGTGCACGTGAGCCGTACGTGAGTGCACGAGCATGTCGGGTGTGCCGTCGGATCAGAAAGATCGGAATCGAGTGAAAAGAATTATCCGAGGATGGTGAGGCTGCTAAAGACAAAACGGATATAACCTACCTCCTGCCTCTCTCTCTCCTCTCTTCCCCACCGAGTCTCCGACGAGAGGAAGAAGAAGATTACATCCACCGACGCGCTCGGTCATTTTGCACCACGAGAGAGTCCGGCGCGTATCGAAGTTAGGGAACTGCTCATTAGAGACGCGAAGGAGAGGAAAGAAGTGTTCGAATGAATGAGCGGTAAATGGAATATCTGCCGAGATTGCATCCATTCATGCGAAGGCGCTCGAAGTGAAACGCATCGTTGGCTAATCTGACATCTCGCCCCTTGATGGTCTTTTTTGAGACTCTAACAGCGGTTAACGAGTCGATTTGCCTTTTTTTTTCGGGCGCGCAATGATAAACGCTTTGCGCGGATAAACGAGCTAATTACGATGTTCGATCCACGGAAGTGTCTCGGGTGACGAGAAGTCTCAGTCCGGAAGGTGACGGAGGACCCGATCGCAGGGCGAGAAGAGGCGAGGAAGCCGGAGCAGGGGAGGAGAGCGGTG